ATCAAGGAACCATAGAGTTGGAAGAGACCACAAGGGCTACTGTTACACAGCTCTTACTGTCAATGGGATTCAAGGCGGGTTATTGGAATTGGAAGAGACCTCAAGGGTCATGCAGTCCAATCTCCCTTGCCATGCAGGAACACAGAATCAAAGCACTCCCAACAGATGGCCATCCAGCCTCTGTTTTAAAACCTCCAAAAAAGGAAACTCCACTACATCGGAGGGAGTGTGTCCCACTGTCACACAGCTCTTATTGTCAGGATGTTCTTCCTCATGTTGAGATGAAATCTCTTTTTTTGTAGTTTGCACTGCTCCATGCCCTATTCTCTGGAGCCACAGAAAACAAGTTTGCTCCATCTTCAAAATGTCATTCTTTCAAATATTTAAACATGGCTATCAGGTCACCTCTTAATCTCTTCCCCAGGCTAAACATGCCCAGCTCCCTAAGTCTCTCCTCATAAAGCATAGGTTCCAGACCCTTCACCATGTTGGTCATGCTCTTCTGGATGCTCTGCAGCTTGTCAACATCCTTTCTGAACGATTGTGCCCAGAACTGGATGCAGTAATCCAGGTGAGGCCTGACCAAAGGGGAATAGAATTGTACTATTACTTCCCTCAATATGGACACTATACTTCTAGGAGCTAGGAAAACAAGCCCTTGTTCACCTTGAAGGCTGCCCGGAAATAGGCAGCTGCTGTGTGGTCTGGAAAGTCCTTTTTCAACCCGATTAGGCTGCTGGTGGGGTGCAGGACTGGCCCACTGGGAGAATGACAAAGGAAACTGACAAGAGTCCCCTCTTCCTCTGGAATGCCCCTCCATGGGAAGTTAGGCTGGCCCCCTCCCTGCTTGCCTTTCATTGGCAAGCAAAAAATGGTTTTATTCAGGCAGGCTTTTAATACACAGTCATGGGATGGCTTTCTTAAGGGATGTTTGTTACATTAGGTTGTCCATATAATATTGTAATTTGAAGGTATAATTTTAATTTCACTGATTTTTTATATCAGAAATGTTGCCATTACATTTAGCGACATATGGAAATCACAATTGATTAATAACATTAGTACAAAAACCACAACTAAGGGTTCTTTATGGTGTGACATGGGAGGAGGTCAAGGGGTGCTGGGTTTGAAACTATGACTTACTCAACAGGTGACACCAACCCCTAGGGGTGCCACTGAAAACATCAAATAAAAACAATATAAAATTACAGATGTTAATGCGACGGGGTTTAAACCAAGGAGTGGGGGAATTCACCAGTTTTTAATTGTACTGCGTTTTTCTAGACCCTTTGGGTCCCAGTCTTGGGAGGAAAGCAGGATAGAAATAGGGTTGCCATTTCCTAGTTTTTGCCGGGACATTCACAGATTGGAGGATCCAAAAAATATCCCCTCCTGGCTGGGCATTTTTGACCCGCCAGTCCCAGATTCCTGCCTCATTCCAGGCCACTTTTTGTCAATCTCTAGTTGACTGGCAAAAATTTGGCTGGAACAGGGCAGAAAGTGTCCTCCTCCTCCAAGATGGACTCTCAGTCCTCGCACCTCCGCTTGCCTCCTCCTGGAGCTGGAGGAGGCGCTGCCATGCTCGGGGCCTCGGCTGAGGCCCTAGAAGATAAGTTAGAAGATAAGGTAAGGGGGCTTGAGGCCTTCTGCCGCTGCTTCCACCTCCCTTGCTGCTTTTTTGGTGCAGTGGGTGGGCGGCAGGGAGACCAAGAGCTTGGTAGACTTCCCTGGGGGCTCTGGGATGGGAGCTTTTTTTAAAAAAATTATTAATGTTTTTGGCTTTTAGTTGGGCACGTCCCCCATTTTTCTTGAATGCCAGACATTTTGCCCTACAGTTTTTTGTGGGTTTTTTGGGCTGTGTGGCCATGTTCTAGAAGAGTTCCTTTCTGACGTTTTGCCATCATCTGTGGCTGGCATCTTCAGAGAAAGATGCCAGCCACAGATGCTGGCGAAACATCAGAAAGAAACTCTTCTAGATGCCAGCCACAGATGATGGCGAAAGGTCAGAAAGGAACTCTTCTAGAACATGGCCACACAGCCTGAAAAACCCACAAAAAACTATGGATGCCGGCCATGAAAGCCTACGACTTCACATTTTGCCCTACATTTTGCCCCTATATTTTGTCCCGGTTTTGTGGTAGAGAATTATGGCAACCCTAATAGAAATAGTGGTTGTTATTGTTATTATTTCTATCTAGGGTTGCTATAATAGTTGCTGTTGTTGTATGTACAGGCAGGAGCAAGGGGAGGGCACCTTTTCCAGAGGTTTCCACACACCATGTTTAACCCAGTACAGGCCTTTGCAGACTGCCAGAAACAGTGCACATTAAATTGAGGCACTGCCCTGGCTCAGTGCTAGGGAATCATGGGAACTGTAATTTATTGTGGCACTAGAGCTCTCTGACAGAGAAGGCTCAATGTCCCAGAAAAAAATACAATTCCCATGACTCCCTAGCACTGAGCCAGGGCAGTGCCTCAATTTAATGTGCACTATTTCTGGCAGTCTGCAAAGGCCTTACATGGGTTTTTAATAGGCGGAGGGCGGGCCTTGTTCCCCTTCCCTCCCTCCCTCCCTGCTTCCCTCCTGCGCCCCAGGTGTTTATGGCTGACAAATTGGGACTTCCTCCTGCCTCCTGGCCCCGCAGCGCCTCCTGTCAATCACTCCCCTCGCAGCCCCAGAGAAAAGAAAGGCGGGAAAGTGGCCAGAGAGGAGGCTCAGGGGACACTGGGGCCCCAAGCAAACACCCCTCCAGGGTGACCAGATGTTGTATGGTGTGTGGCTCTTGGTGGGGGT